CGTCATGGCATGTGTAGACGCTCAAGTTCATCTGCAGAAAAGTGGAAACGGTTTCAATGACGAATCTGGTTTGACCACTGGACAAAACAGCCGAGGCCGAGGACGGTTTGTATGAACAAACATGCCAGACTTGCCACGTTTTGAAGTAAGCGGACAAGTAAGTCTGAGGACAGTTCTTGACCAAAGTGAAAATCTGTGATGCAGTCCAGAGATTTTTTTTTAAAATTAACTCTTAGCCCTTTCACTGGCTTTAAACACATTTCAGCTCCCTGAAAAAAATCTGTCCTGGAAGAATTCCTTAGCACCTGCTCTCACACTTTCGTGGGTGTGAGGAAACTAAGAGAAGACGCTCTTGCTTACGCAGTTCTCCAAATAAGAGGAAAAGCGTGATTGCTTCAAGTTGTTTTTGACTTCCACTTGAGGTTTTCTGTCACATAAGACAAGAGAAAATTTTACTTGATATGAAAAAACAACAACATTCAACCAAATTTTACATTTTCAATCCAAGTCCACCAGCATAATGCTAACACATGCAAAACGCCCTAGCGCACAGGTGTCAAACAATCACTATTTATTCAATACACACAAAGTAGCAACCCATTCAAAAGAGCGCGCCTTATTACCCACGAGCATGTTTTCCTTTAGCCCTCAGCGTTGCCCGGAAAGTTGCGGCACATCACGTAATTACAGTGAAGGGACACAGCTTGAAATTCAGAATTGGCCGGACAGTATACATCAAGTAATATTTAAAAAAAAACAAAACAAACAAACAAACAAACGATTGCTTCAAAACCCACAAACCTTGTCATAAGAGGTCCCCTTATTGGAAAAAGATCAATAGGAGTTAGGGTACCAACATGTCAATGTTGGTCCGCAGAAGTCACAAGGAGAAGCGAATATTTGACTGCGAGGACGCAAAGGTGGCACATTTCCACTCGGTAGCATCCAACAGAAGATTCACACTTCATTATGGCAACGTCAGTCAAGTGTGAAGCCATTATGATGTGGGAGCAGTGGGACTGGCTGGGAGTATAACTAGGGGTGTAACTAATAATCCCCCCCCACCCCACCCACACCCCTCCAACACACACACACACATCGCAAACCCACTTGCTCAAATCACTTTCTGGAAGCGGAATGAAGTCATTCAAACAGAATCTTTATTTAATATATTCAAACAGCTGTGAGGTGTTGTCCCAGTGTCAAATGAACAGGGGGCCAACAAACAGCTGGCGGGCCATGCCCCCCCACCCCGTGCCCCCTCCCCGCCCTGCTCGCAATTACACTGAAACACGGCGGATGTGATGCACAAGCATGAAGCAAATTCGCTGCAAATCACATACATGAGGAACGTTCACCTATCATGCAACGACGTCCAAAAGGAGAAGCTGACTTTGAGCAGAAGACTTTGTGTATTCTACTCCCCCCTAGTGGACAATAGCAGTATGCCAGGTCCATGCACATCTGTTTTTCATCTGTAGGCCTACTTGCACAAAGCTAATATTTGGCCTTATGGGGACATTTTATGGGGAATTTATTTTTTTCTTGGACAGCATACTTTTTTTTCTTGGATCAACCGCTGACTTGCGGGAGAGGAAAATAAAAAAAATGGGTAATTTCAGAGAGATGTAATAGGGTGTGTAAAGCATACTTTAATTGTTGATCCTTGCGATATTTTGACACTGTGTTTATTAAAACACCACGGAACTTTTTTGAATGACTACAAAATGCATAAGGTGTCTCATGTTAATATTATAAATAACCTTAGACGAAGCTACAGTACTCCATTCACTCGTCATCCAAAAGAAAAGTGTGAATTAACAAAGACTCGTCATGGATGATTTTCCGGTGCAAAAATTCAAGTGTTTGACTGCTCGCAGCTCAGGGAATGGAAGACGAATCGCTGCTTATTTTAGAGAATCAACATTTGAATGAAACCACAATTGGCGGCCTGGTCGTGCTCAAAGCCTGCAAGTGAATACCGAAGTTCGTGTGTGACAATCAAAACATTTTCAATCAGCCACTGTTGGGTACTTCTGGCAGAATCCCAGGAAGGAACGATTTGCTCTGAACTCTGATTCGAGGTTTGCATGATGGAATTGAATTAACAAGCAGCACAAAATAGACATGGCAACTATTTTCAAACAAACAAGACAGGGAACATTTGCTGCAAAATTAGAATCTCTGAAAAGGCAATTTAGACTTTCTTTTCAACGAGTCTATTTGATAACGTGTGTTATCAGTATAAATGTGTGGAACAGACAAGTAAAAATGCACATTGTTGGGCTTGGCATGTCATTTCAATACACTCATCAGACTTACCTTTCTCAAACACAGAACTTCAATTAGCATGAGCATGCGAAAGGAGGTGATTGTGTTTTTTAGACAAGCTTGCTGAGAATCAAACATCGTCTTTGCACTTCAGAACATGTGCTTATACTTGAGGCACACAGGCGTGTGTCCCTCTTATTTTACCCATGTACGCCTCTAGCCAAGTATGCTTTGACTCTTGAAAAACAATATAAATAAGTAAAAACAAGTATCTTCAATCACATAATTTTCTTTTGATGGCCACTGTCACTGCTGGGCCATTAGAAGTGCTTGCCTCCAATATAAGGCACCTGCTCCCTTGTCATTGAAAGAAGCTGTATAACACACACTACAACGAAAAATATATAATAAACTGTCGTCAGGTGAAATGTTCGTATTTGCAAAAGTGACAATGAAACCGTGACGTTACCTGTATGCCAGACACGTCATTGCTGTTGCAACGCAATTCCAAATGGCAATACTGAATGATCTTCTTCAGGAGTTTCATGGTGGTTGGCAAGAAACACTGAATGACATTTGCTCGGGTGTGTTTTCTAACAGGCAAGATGAAGGACAGCTGCGTGCCGGTTGAAGGACCCCAAAGAGCCAAGATGGCCGCGCCCGAGGCAGACGCCGGGGACTTCGAAAGATGGCTAAATGAGCGGCTAGACGCGTTGGAAGTCGACCGCGAGGTGTACGGCGCTTACATTTTGGGCGTGCTACAAGAAGAGGAGAGCGACGAGGAGAAACGAGACGCGCTTCAAGGGATTTTATCGGCATTTTTGGTGAGTTAGTAACGCCCTCATGTCGCACGTAGCCAACATGACAGCTGTTTGGCCGCTAAACCAAAGTTGATTCATGGAACGCGTCACAGTTATACAAGTGACCCCTCAGGTATGGGCCATAAACTATACAGAAGTGGACTTTCAAATTCTTCTAAGACAAAACCCGATCCCGTGCTCTTCCCCTTTGCGTCACAAAGTAGCAAACGATACAACCGCCTGACTTGGATTGATAGCGTTTGTTTTGTGTACTGTACTCAAACGAGCAGGATGAAGAGGACACGCTGGAAGATGTCTGCCAGGAGATCCTCAAGCATTGGACAGAGTACTGCAAACGCTCGGCGAACAAGCGGGATGCTGGAGATGGTAATTTAATACATATTAGGCACATAAATATTTAACATTGACCTGAAGCTTCTCAACAAGCTGCAGCGTAAACAGACTTCTCATATCTTTAAATCACACCTATTTGATATGCATAGTTTGCAACTGTGGCTGTTATCAGTGCCAGATAAACACAAGGACGAATTAGCTCACGTTTTTCCTGAAAGTTGACACCAGCCTCAATGAGAATAACATGGCTATTTTTGTCTCTCCGGCCAGCTGAGGTCCAGGCCATCGCCAGTATGATTGAGAAGCAGGCTCAGATTGTGGTGAAGCAGAAAGAAGTGTCAGAGGAGTCCAAGAAACGCAAAGAAGCCCTTCTGGCGCAGTACGCCAACATTACGGATGAAGAAGAATATCCTTGATTGAGCAACGTAATGATTTTTGGCATTTGAAGTCCGTGTTATTTACATTCCTGACCACAAATCAAGTCTGCCTTGTTTATTAATTTACTTGCCCTCTCAAAGATTTTTTTTCTTTCAAATTTGTGTTATACGGCTTATATAAGGTCACAATGATGGTTGAAAAGTTTCTGAAATGATCTAATTTCTGAATTTTACACAAACCTGGCATTTGAATTCGGGGTGTGTAGACTTTTTTTTTTTAACTGACCATTTTTGCGCTGCCCAAAAGTGGTCATATCGGGCTATTATTGATATGCCAAACTGCACTGCTTTGGAAAAAGAGGCTGTTTTTTATGTTTGACGCTAACTTGTAAAAAGGCAGAGATGATTTGCTTCCCTTGACTGAAACACTGAAGGTGAAGAGGAGGAGTCGCCAAATGGCCACATCATGCCCGGACAGGACAAGTGTATCCTTTCCATGTCAATGTCTTTTTAAAAACAAATATTTTTTGTATGAGTTGTAGCATATGTAAATGTTACATGTGACTAAACGGACCAGTTGGCACACACAGTGATTTTGTGTCTTTGTCTGTATGGGGTCTGTCAAAAGTTGGTGTGTGTTTATGCCATCCTGTGCGCCTCTACGGAGGAAAGGCAGCAGATGACTTCTGCGCTAGTGCTTTTTCCTGTCGACTGTTCGGTCCTTGACCTCCATTTGGGTGTCAGCCATGTTCAAGAACACCAACGTGGAGGAGGTCCTGAATAGACAAAAGCAAAAGCGGGACCAGGCCCGTGAAGACGCCCAGAAGAAGAAGGAAATGGACAAGATGCAGCGGGAGAAGGACAAACTGGCCAAACAAGACAGGAAGGAGAAGGAGAAAAAGCGCACACAGAAAGGAGAACGCAAAAGATAAGAGCAGGAGAAAGGACAATTGTGTGATGTCGGGAAAGGGAAGAGTTGGCTACACAACTCTTCGGTGGGTGACACGAGCGGGGGGGCTTGTGCTGCGGACATTGTGTTGTGCCTGAGCGCTGAAACGTGGGAGTTGATTCAACTGTTTTTGTTATCAAAACTTGAAATCCAATCACGTGCTATCGTAAAAAGATGTGAGCGAGACTAAGAACAAACGAGAGGCTTTGTTTTGAAATTCCGTCTTTTTAAGGTAATAAACTTTTGGAGTGATTGCAATTGCTTTTATTTGAAATGCTTCAGTTGTACAAATGTAGAAACAGGAGAACACTTTCGAACCATTATGACTGGAAATAAGAAAAATACAAGGCCCACAACGATCAGAATACCAGCAAGACACTTATCACATCTAAAATGTTGTGATTGACGAATGAGGACAGTGAACTCGGCTAACACAACAAACGGCCGTTTCTGTAATATAAAACATTTTTCTTTCTATATTTCAACTCGTGCCCGGCATATCCAGAGCAGTGGCTGACATGCGGCATGTCTCAACTTGACTTTGTGATATTTCACTGATGGTGGTATGACAAACAGTAATTAAAATTACTTTTAATGTTCCGGTCCAAATGGTTAATCGGTTTGAGATTAAAAGAAGAAAAAAAAATGTTCCAACTAAAGCAAAACAAACACAGCAGAATATCTGCATAATTTTGGATTCAAATAGTTTTAAGGCGAACGAACAAACCAATAAATGATTTTAAAGAACTCCCATAAATAGTTAATTTAAATAGTTTTGTTATGGATGGATTCGAATCAATTGAGGAAGGAACCTTGATTATTAATTTGCGCATCACGTGCTCTGCTGATCACCTTGACTCAAATTTTAGCTCGGTGCTCCATTGAAGGGGCTTTTTTCTGATTTGATAAATTCTGTGAGTGCCTCTTAACTGGGCTGGGTGTTGTCGCGCTAGATTAATGTAATAGCGTAAGGGCAGCCCTGTGTGTGTGTGTGTGTGTGTGTGTTTCCTCCCCGTTTGTGCCGATGTGGTCTTCGGGCTTACTGACTGGGCAGGGGGGCAGTCTTCAAGAGAGAACGCCAAAGAGCTATACGGATCTCCCTGTTGGCATCGGGGCCTTCCTCCGGCCTCTTGACGGGAGTGGGCACGGACATCTGGAGAGCGCACCAAAGGCTTGTACGGAGCTTCCTGGTGGTCACGGCGAGCTCCTTCAGGGCGATGACCAACAGCACGCGGTCTAGGAAGATGGCGGCATTTCAAAGCGGGCTTTTCAAAGGATACAACTCGCCTCATGAATACTTGAAGCAAAGTTAGACAACAGGAGAAGGTCTAAAATTGAACATGACTCAAGTCCTATTTGTTTGGATTTTGAAAATAAATAAATCCTATGCGCAATGTACATTACATTCAGCATAACATACCGTAATTAACTGTTTATGCAAGGTTTAAGTTAACATTCTGACATTCCTAACTGCATGTCACCTGTAAAATATGTTAGCCGCTGTTACTCTAAAAGGCAAAAATAGAACACGCGGACCCACAAAAAAAAGTGCCAGTAAGACCCTACCTAGCTGAAGTCTCCCTGAACTCACATTCAAAATAATAACGATAATAATAAAAAATAAGAATGCATTTAATTTATTATGCACTAATCATTTCAGGGAAATCTCAAAAGTATGTTCTTCTCTTATCTTCTCTTGAAATGGAAAAAAAAATTGCACAAGCAGTTTATCGACCGCGCTCTTGTGATGGATGCTTATTTCTCACGTATCTTTGATGCTGTTCAATAATTTGGAGTGTGTTTCGCAAAAAAAAAAAAAGCGAAAGACAAACAAAAATACACACTCCCCAAGTCATTCAATTAATTACGCTGAAGTGTGATTTGCTGAAATCTCCCTTGAGTCCCGTTGATTAAACACGGAACAAAACGTCCAACATTTGAGGCTTAATTGTGGTTTGCTACTGAGGCAGCACCAGCACACTAGCGGTCACCCCGTCTGCCTCACAGTTTTGAGGTTCCAATTTTGAATCTCCAACCTTCCTGCTCGGAGTTTGCACGTTCGAATGAGGAGACGCTAAGAGAAAATGAGTGTTCACAATCTGAAGACATGAAACCCCGTGTACGAGTACATTCCGCTTACCGTAGTCCTCTGTGAGTGGAGGTCCAAGCCACTGACGCTTAGACGTGTTGGCAAGCTTTTTCCCGCATCTTGCCTGGACGCAAGATAAGGCCTGGTGATGATTGTTCAGCGCCATGTGAATGGTATCATGGAGAGGTACGTTGCACAGGTACTCCATGTTGTACAAAACCCAATTCACCTGCAAAACACCCAACGCACCAATATGAGTTGCTTTGTGATCTGACGTTTCTCGATATCGCTAATGATCTCACATTGGCCTGCTCTCTCCTCTGATTAAAGATGAGAGAGTCGATTCTGGTCGGGTGGAGCGCAAGTCCGGGTGGGTGTGTCAGGGGCGACAATGGTGTCCATTCGCCCGGAAATGTTTTGGCCAGGATGACCTCGACCTGAAATGAAGTAAAAGACATTTACATCGTGGAACTTCGATTTTGAGCGGTGGTTTTCAACTTTGGTGACTTTCATTTCTGAATCATTGCAAAGGTGCGACGCCCTTTAGTAAAAGAGCAATAAAGAACCTTGGGGGCGGGGGGTCCCTAATCAAAACAGCCTCTAAAAACACACACAATGGATCGTTTCAACCTTGAACTACTTACTATTGATTACACTTGCGATGACATGCAAACCTCTCGCTCCTTTTCCCTAAAGTCACAGGAGTCAAACTCAAGGCCCGAGGGCCAGATCGCGCCCGCCACGTCATTTTATGTGGCCCGCAGAAGCAAATCAAGCATGTCACCTTGCACGACGCTTGCCAAAATCTCTACCAACATTTAAAATTCTCATATGTAATAAATAAGAGACATATTGTAAGCATTTGCTTATCACCAAACCCCTCCTAACAGTAACTTTAACAATAGTTGAATAAACCGTTATTGTTGACTTTTTTTATTTGGTTTCAGTCATAACGGCCCTCTAAGGGAAACGGTAACTAAAATGTAGCCCACGACAAAAATGAGTTTGACACCCCTGCCTTAAGTCATCAGAGGCTGAATGAATTTCGATTTCTACAGTGGTCGACTCGTGTTGGAAACCTGAAGGTTTCGCTGGAAGTACCTCGAACAGCCAAACAGAGCCAGCCACCCCCCCCCACCCACCCAAACCTACCTTCTTCCTCTCCCCTTCCAGATAGCCTAACTGCTCAGAGCATTCATCCAGATGGAGGTAAAACTGGATGATAACTCCCTCAGGATTCTTTTGCAATAAAGCTGCCAGAGGAGAGTCCCCGTATTTACAAGTGCTCCCTCCATTGTGAGTCTCGGCGCCCTTGAGCTGACTGTACAATGCCGCGGCGCTGTTTCCAGTCGTCCCCGCAGCGGGAGTCATGCCGGGACCGCTTCCATGAGGCGTTGTGTCTTTTTGAGATTTGAGAGGCAGCTGGGTGAACCTTGTGGGGCCACTGTCGACGTGAGCGGGAGGTCTGTATGGCCGCGCGTTCTTCCCCATGATGTTTTCTCCATTAAATCTCTCCATGCCGCCCAGATGGTCAACATGTGGTCTCCCGTGTGTCTCCGCCACGCGAGCGACAGTTTGCGGCCTCTCTTCAAAGAAGCCAGACATCTTTGTTTCTTTCTGCATCAGTGATTTCATCTTGTACTGCCCCTGCTTGGAGCGGAGATTGGAGTACTGGTTCCTATTTATAATATTGGGACATTGATTTGGGGGATTTAAGGATAGTGAGACGGGCTTTAGTTGCGGGGAATATTCAGCAATTCCGTTGCCCAGCCACGATGGTTCTTGAACATCCTTACGCTTAAATGCTGGTTTGATATCTCGGCCCCAAAATTCTCCCTCCAGCTGTTTTTCGCGTAACATTGGCATTGATTGGCTGGGGAATTTCCGTTGCTCAAGTATGCTGTCTTCAGGGTATTCTGTCTCTCGTTCTATGTTTGGAAAACATCCATAGCGTCCTTGATTAGACTCATCAGCCAAGAGAGAGTGCAAACCACTAACCAGTTGGTTCATGTGTTCCGGCATGTCTTGCTGATTATCATGAATGGGCTTTGCGCTCGTGGCGCTCTCGTAATGATCACACAATGGTTTGCTCATTTTGTTTTGGAACTGAAAGGCATCACTGATTTGAGGGAAGTTGTTAAAGGACCGATGATTTGCTGCGTACAAATCGGCTGATGGCTCATGGTTGCTCTCCAGTGTCTGTGGTGGGAGGTGGTTCGCTGTTTTGGGAATGGGAAGAACTGGTGGCAATCCGTTTGGGTGACTGCCATAGCTATCTCTGTCTCCATTACGAACACTACTTGGCCAGTGCGGATGAGCGGAAATGCCACTGAGCTTCTGGAGAAACCGCTCATTTCGAGACACCATTTGAGATCGAATGAAAGCATCACTGGGACGAGAGTAAGGAAGTTTATCATTCGCTTCAACTCCAGGATACTGTAAAAAGTCTTCTTTCAATGTCTTGGGACTCCAAAGACCATTGGCAGGAGATGGGTTTCTAAAAGAAATCAGAATTTTATTTGGGTTGTTATAAAATAAATAAAAAATGGCTCCACAGGGCAAGAATGAGCAGAAGAAGCTCTTATGTTACTATTTAAAGGGTATTACTGATTTATTATTAGCTCTTTTTAAAATTTGAGTGACAGGTAAGAGGTGACTTTAACATGAGGTTTTCTAAAACTTAGTTAGTTGTCCTATTGATTTACTGTTCTTTCAGTTAATAAAGGTTTTATGATGATGGATTGATTAAATCCCATGATTCTTATAGCAAAATAACAATTTATTCTTAGAACAAAATGGGCATCCTCAGTGCAAATTTCTTTTCACCACTGAAAAACTGGTAGAACTTCAATTCGAAATTTGTGTTGCAAAACAAAACATCCAAACTTGCAATTAAGAGATTGCATTGGATAGCAAATCAAAATATCACCAACAGTGGATGATCCCCCGCACCCCCATCCCCCAACTCTACACTGTGATACTTTACATACCCCCTATTGTAGAATCCACTCTGGATCTCATCACCTTCATCCAAAATACTGGACACTAAACACTGCAGATCAACCTCCTCCTCAATTTCATGTTTTTCAGTGGTTTTCCTTCAAAGAAAAAAAAAAGATGTCACAAAAAATATTTGACACTTTTTATTTTCAAATCACGTAAAACATAATACCTGCTCTTGATGCTGTTCAGTGCACAATTCGTGAGTTCATAGGGGTTACTGTGAGCAGTGGGAGACCAGAGTTTGAACTCCGCCACTCCCTCTTCCTGAGGACTAAAACCTGACTCGGAAAAGCTGCTATTTCCACCATCACCATTGACACAAGCCTGAAACAAGAACAAATGGGAAACATACAACACTCAACACAGACAACCAACCAGTATTCTTTCAATCGCAGCATTTTCGGTTTTAGGGTGACAGTTAAAACAAAAAACAAAAAAAAAAACAGTGGACATCCCTGAAAGAGTATGAAATTAACATTTTCATTTGACACTACTACTAAGTACTACAAAGCAGTAGTAATCAAACAGTCAGACGGTTTTTTCTTGAGGACTAATCTGCATTTCAGTTTGTTTATGAGGCCACTGGGAATGCTGAGCAGTGATTAAGGACTAAATCAAACCATTTTCATCTTAACGACAACGGATCTGAAGTCATTGGAGCGAATGTGCAGTGTGTGTTACCTGTGAATGCTTACCTGACCGTAAAACGAGGACAAGAAAAGCTCGTCAGTTGCCATTTCGAAACTCTGAACGCCCCCTTGAACTTGACTCTTTATTATGTTCCTAATCAATCACAACACACGATACTAGTTATTACTTAAGTTCATAGTGTTTACATCATATTTAGGTCCGGCAGACAGCGATAATTTTTTTTAATTAGACGTACGACGGAAAAAGCTAAGCCCGCCATTTTGCCTGACTTTTACCTTGTTTCAAAAGTGACGATGAAGCTTTAGCTCTGAATGTTCGTCTCATAATAGAAACATTTAACATCGCAAAATACCAAAATATCCATTTTGAAGCGATCTTGAGTGAACCTACCCCGACACTTTTGTTCGACCAACTTACTGATGTCGTGAAATTCCAATAACCCAGAAGCTCGGACTTGGTCCCCTCCATCAGCTAAAATGTCCTCATGCTCATTGGTCAAACCTGACGTCCAATTAGCATAAAGCTAACCTTAATGAGCACAGCAACACGTAGTTACCACGCCCCATTTTCAGAGACGCTATTATTAACTGATAGATTAATTGATATACATATCTATAAATATTACTACGTACTCACTCAACTCAACTGCATTTTTAGAGCACTTTCAAATACTCACAACAAAATTCCAAGTGTTTACAATAGAAGGAATCGCACATGATAATTGACGTACAGGAAAACTGGACGGGCTGAGTGCATCACTTTGTAACTGTAATGATGTCTTCCAATGAGAGGAGAGGCCTTCATTTTTTGGACCTTCATCGTCATACAAAAAAAAAAAATACCTGTAAAATGAATTAGTTAAGAGAATTATGAAATGGCCTATGTTGTTATTGTGTCTATATCTGAATGTAATAATTGTATATTATTGTACAAAATATAAATTGTAACTTCCGCATTTAAGCGTTACTTACGGAACGTCTCATCTTGTGATGAGGAGATATCTCAGATGTTCTGTTCATTTTAAAAGTTGAAAAGACTTCGTGGTATGTAACGTTATCATGATGTTTTAATGGGCTGTCTCTTTTTTCAATACTCTGTTATTGTGCAACTTTCAGAGCGTTTGGGGGTAATAATTTAATTAAGATGTCAGTATTTTCTAATTCCTATTCAACTATTGATGATTTGGCCGGTGAACATGATGTGAACACTAGATGGGGACCTCATCCTCCTCATCCACGCAGCGGCAAACTCGTAAATCTGGTTGGGCCGCGGAATCCAGCTGTGGTGTCAAGTTCGATGTGAAAGCTAGCTTTTCCCATGATATTCTTCAAAATAAAAGATAAACTTTGCCAAACTCTTTTCAACGTCGTCTTAACCATCTCCTACTCCATGTATAAGTGACTGTCACTGCCCTAATCAATTTAATGAATCACAGTAGCAATATTAGTATTTATTTTTTGTCACAGCAGTTGCCAAGCGATGCCTCTTTTTGCGAAAGTGACCATGTAGCTTTTATTTTGAAAGCACCTACAGGATGATTTTCTTCTCGTTAAAGTGACAAGACAGGAGAGAGAGAATAGGAGTTTGGGAAAAGAAAAAGTTAGCCAGCAGCGCTCCAAGAGAAGAGCAAACACAAAGAGGGCGACGCTCGCGCTGAATGATCAGCCTATACAACTTTTAATATCACTGAGCCTGCCTCATGAGGCTTGCCTAACACGCTTTCCACTGAATTCTCAGACGCAAGTTGCTGTCATTGAAACTTGAGCGAGATGATTTTGGGGGGTACTTGGTCTGTCCTTCTCTTGCTGCCTGTGGTGGTATCAGCTCAGTATCAAGGAGACAACGGAATTGTCATCCCGGAGCATGGATTCTGCCAACCGATTTCCATACCTCTCTGCACGGATATCGCCTACAACCAAACCATCATGCCCAACTTAGTGGGCCACTACAACCAGGAGGACGCAGGGCTGGAGGTACACCAGTTCTACCCGCTGGTGAAGGTACAGTGCTCCCCGGAGTTGAAATTCTTCCTGTGCTCCATGTACGCGCCGGTTTGCACTGTCCTGGAGAAGGCCATCCCGCCTTGCAGGTCCATCTGCGAGAGGGCCAAGCAAGGTTGCGAAGCTCTCATGAACAAGTTTGGCTTCCAATGGCCCGACAGACTCCGCTGCGAGAACTTCCCCGTGCTGGGCGACGGTCAGATATGCGTGGGACAGAATGACTCGTCCGCCGCCACCGTCCCGCCCTTGCCCATCCCAGGCACCCAGGACGTCTCAGTGGTCTCCGGCCCTGAAAGCTCCTTCCGTTGCCCCACCGCGCTTGTGGTGCCCCCATACTTGAACTACATGTTCTTGGAGGAGAAGGACTGCGCCGCTCCATGCGAGCCGGCCCGCGGTGGCGGCTACATGTTTTTCACCGACAAGGAGATCCACTTTTCACGCATCTGGATTCTGGTCTGGTCGGTCCTGTGTTGCGCTTCCACCTTATTCACGGTCACTACTTATTTGGTGGACATGCAGCGTTTCAGGTACCCCGAGAGGCCCATTATCTTCCTGTCGGGCTGCTACACCATGGTCTCCATCGCGTACATCGCAGGCTTCTTCCTGGGCGACAAAGTGGTGTGCAACGAGAGCTTCAACCCGGAGGGCTACAAGACAATCGTCCAGGGCACCAAAAAGGAAGGCTGCACCATCCTCTTCATGATGCTCTACTTCTTCAGCATGGCCAGCTCCATCTGGTGGGTGATCCTGTCCCTCACCTGGTTCCTGGCCGCGGGGATGAAGTGGGGCCACGAAGCCATCGAAGCCCACTCCCAGTACTTCCACTTGGCGGCCTGGGCGGTGCCGGCCGTCAAAACCATCAGCATCCTGGCCATCGGGCAGATCGAGGGCGACGTGCTGAGCGGCGTGTGCTTCGTCAGCCTCAGTAACCTGGACCCCCTGCGAGGTTTTGTCCTGGCGCCTCTCTTCATCTACCTCTTCATCGGGACCTCCTTCCTACTGGCCGGCTTCGTGTCGCTCTTCCGCATCCGCACCATCATGAAGCACGACGGCACCAAGACGGAGAAGCTGGAGCGGCTCATGGTGCGCATCGGCGTCTTCAGCGTGCTCTACACCGTCCCCGCCACCATCGTGATCGCCTGCTTCTTCTACGAGCAGGCCTTCCGCCCGCACTGGGAGCGCAGCTGGGTCAGCCACAGCTGTCGGAGCCTGGCTATCCCGTGTCCGCCGCATACGGGGCCCCGCATGACGCCGGACTTCACCGTCTATATGATCAAGTACCTGATGACGCTCATTGTGGGGATCACGTCTGGTTTCTGGATCTGGTCTGGGAAAACGCTGCATTCCTGGCACAAGTTCTACACCCGGCTGACAAACGGCAAACACGGCGAGACCACCGTGTAGGATGAATGGCCTGCCGCAAGCTCTTGGACGGACTGATTTGTGCTTTTCATGGCGGCCGTGTGTTGGTTTGAGGAGGGGAAAGGGTGGGGGGGGGGGGGCCAAGTTCTTGGGTATTTGGAGCCGCAAAGCTAAAAAGTGTTTGGGTTTTGACCAAGCAGCGAGCTGGATTAACGCGGCCCGAACGGGACAGTCTGACTGAACAAACACACAACAAACATGGCCGACGTGGCCATGTGCTGAAATGCTCACCTTCTCGTTCCTCCTCTTCCTCCCTTCTTGGCTCCACGGTCCAGCAGCCAAGACTGGAGCACAAAGAGCATTTCACATGTAATTAAATCCAAGTGTAAATAGTAATTGTAAAAACATGAAAGTATATATTTGTATTTAAAAAAAATAATAATACTACCGCTTAATTGTCAGTGTACCTGCTTCTCTTTTGCACCGCAACAAAGCCAAATGGATCTGCCCCCCCCTTTAAAAAAAAAAGAAAAGAAAATACCATAATAATGGTAATCATATCTGCAGTTATGTGAGCCTGATTCATGCTGGATTTTTGTATGTAAAAAAAAAAAAAAAAAAAAAACCAAAATAATGGTAATCATATCTGCAGTTATGGGGGCCTGATTCATGCTGGATTTTTGTATGTAAAAAAAAAAAAAAAAAAAAAACCAAAATAATGGTAATCATATCTGCAGTTATGGGGGCCTGATTCATGCTGGATTTTTGTATGTAAAAAAAAAAAAAAAAAAAAAACCAAAATAATGGTAATCATATCTGCAGTTATGGGGGCCTGATTCATGCTGGATTTTTGTATGTAAAAAAAAAAAAAAAAAAAAAAGTAAAACCAAATTGGCATAATGTCAAGTTCTATCAGCAAAATGTACAAATGCCCCGCTTTATTTTATTAATGTATGTAGTCACTTTATATGGAAGCTACGAAATACTCTTGTGTCGTTATACAACCAACGTAGGTGGTCTAATGTTATTTTGCCTTCAAAATTTGGGTCGGAATGATCGCTGATACAAATTGCTCACATGATGTCAGGCATTCATACATCCTACTTTCCTGTTTTTATTTTCTCTTGACATCCTGGGAGATTTGCTTGTTCTTTCTAAAACAGAACAATATCACCAAGAGCAGATCTCATCTAGTATTTCAAATGCGGGCCGAGAGGAAGTGTCATTCATCGGCGTAGTAATCGGGCGGACAATGAACGTGGCGCGACTTGTTTCTGCGGGCGAGTAAGATAGCGTTCTGCCCCACGGCTATACGTAATCTAAACATCAGTGTGGGCGGCAGCAAAACTAAAAATGCTTCATTGTTGTCATGTTTTGAGAACCTTGTGAGACTATAATTACCCGCTGCTGCTCTATTGCTAATCAAAACGTATGAATGGTTGACATCTTTGGGGCAGTCGTGTAGCTCTTGTCACACGTATTATCTACATTTTTAGAATGTCAATATTTCAGCTGTTGTGCAAGAATAACCAAAGTTGTAAATTTAGTCAGATTTTGTTCCAAAAAGTCATCGAATGTCAGTGGCTATGTGCTAGCCGCTAATATAACATTTCCATTGCGTCTTGTCCGCCATATTTGTGGAATACTTTTCGTGTGTTTTGATTCATGTTACGTTTTTGTACGGTTTCCGACGAAATTGTCCCGCGATCACGTCAAACCAAAAATATGTGTCAATCCAAATGTGCAGATTAAACACCTCCTTCTCAAACGAAATGGTTCATGTAAGTGTGCTTCGCCATACTGGGTCGGTGATTAAAACACAATCTTGGCTGATGAGTTCAAAAGGCGCCAATGTTGTTTTCACAGAAAGGGTGAGATAGCCAAAAGTTTAATTTGGACCCTTATAAATTCTTGTTAATATTTGTAAAACCAAATCATCCATCGAAAGTCAAGTGAATGCCATCATTTTAAAAAAACGATTTAACTTTTCAGCCAATATTTTGAGTAACAAAAACTATTTAACTTTACAGCCAATATTTTGAGTAACATCATCACATGAGGGGAAGTAATCTCGTGTAAAACTAAAATAAAATCTCAAAACCTAATTTGCAGCAATGATTTGAACATTAGCAGCTCATTTGGAAAACTGTCTGCTCACATTTTAATAATATTTATTGAATAATATTGCTCAGCGCGGTGGTACGGCGGGAGAGTGGTTAGCCCACCCGTTTAACAGTTTTTCAGGTTGAGTGTTCAAATCCAGTCTGCGACTGTCTTGTGTGTTCTCGGCGTGCTTCTGAGTTTTCCTCCCACATGACAAAACATGCTTCTTAGGTTAATTGAAGACTCATTTTCAGGATCTGAATGGGTTTTTTTTTTCCTTTTGTCGATGACTTTTTGGGGGGGCATCGAAGGTTACACCATAAAATAAGACATAAGGCGTATTGGAAACTTCATGAAAGTGGCAATCGCAAACAAAGCAGTTCCTGTGAATTGCTTTTTTTTTTCTTCTTTTTTTCTTCCAAAACGGTTGTTGTGAAATCTGTGAGAACGTGACCTCTCCAAATGGTGGCTCGCCTCACACATAAGACCACCAAGTGCACAAAAAAAAAGAAAGAAAAGGGAAAAAAACAAAAAAAAAAACCACCCCCTTTTGTTCGAGAGGCCGCGGTTAAAACAACACAGGGATCATCTGGCGAGAAACGCCTGCGCCATCGGATAGGCGTGAAAGTCTTCCCGCATGCCTGCCTGCCTGTTTGTTGGAGGGAATCTAAAAAAAAAAAAGGTGGTTTCAGCGTTACTTCCCCGCTGCCAAACTGGAATCCCCCAAGCTGTGTTCCTCAGCTCCAATGGATGGATCTCGGCGCTGATGTAATGAAGGCCATGGGTGTGTGTGTGTGTGTGTGTGTGTGTGTGTGTGTGTGTGTGTGTGTGTGTGTGTGTGTGTGTGTGTGTGTGAATGGATTGGGCTGCTGGGGAGGGAGAACTGGGAAGCTGATCCTCTCGCCTCGCAGGCAGGGAGGCTTCAGGGCTCCAAATGTACCATTGTGTGCGTGCATGTAATCATATTAGTTTACTTGGGAGGCTTCGGTGTTTCTATACACTCGTCGTCTCTGACCCGACGGACAAGAGCCTCTTTCTTGTGTTCTTATCGCCGATCTGGCCTTGGCTACGGACGGGCTTGAACAACAGACAGTTAGAGATGATGAAAGGTAGGAAGAGATACTCCAAGAGAGAGGGGTGGGGTGGTGGCGGGGTGAGACATAAATCGACCTGCGCCTCCCTTTCTCACTGTCTATTCTAGCTCGACCCCCCCCAGCCCCCCTTTCCTCCTCTCTCCGCTCAAATGAATGGGGGGAATGTGAGTGAGTCAGTGGAGCGGCGCTAGGCCTCGGCCTCCAGTGACAGACAGTCTCCAGTGCGCTGCTCACTTCAAAGTGCTGCTGAAACCTGACTAGCTCCTTGTAAACACTGCCGCCTGGCCCCCAAAGCCCCCCCCCCTCCCAAACCCTCACCCACCCCTGCCTCCCTCCACTTCCTGCGCTTAACTCAACTTAATGGCTGGCTTGTTTGGCTTTGCACCCAAGCAGAGAGGCGAGCGAGGGAGAATGGCTCCAAGCGGACGGCGAGAGGGATTGTTTCAGGGTGAAAAAGGCGCCGGGTTTGGAACGCCTGATGGAAAACCTGCGTTTGCACCGTAAAATGAGAACACACCCCTGGTTCAAATACCAGCTTTTTCCTTTTTCATGTGAACAGAATGAATAGAATCTGGCATGTGACTTACTTATGCAGTCCAGTTGAAGACAGACATACTGTATCTGTTTGGAGGATACAGATGAATGCTGTCGAATAAACTGTCCGCATCCGTGTGCACACCAAGAATGTGTTCGACCTGCAGAGTCAAAACAAAACCAAACGAAATCAAATTAATCCAGAAGTTCTCAAACTCTTTAGATCAAGTACTCTGGGAAAAAAAAAAAAAAGAATGCTTGGCTCTCCACCAACACAATGAAGTACAGTAACGCCCAACTGTCAATCAAAATCAAGGTTTTACGTCTAAAAAAATATTCAGCATTATTGCAACCAGTCTTGAATATGGGTGGGGGAGGAGGGGGGGAGAACTGCACTTAAATAAAAAAAAAAATTATTGAACATAAAAGGTAAAAAATGAGAACAATAAACCTAAAAAAAAATGGAAACGTAAACAGCTGATAAAGATTAAATACATGTCTTATTCTTAAACGTTATGGTAAATAAAGCTTGACGACACTTTGGCAGCGCCATTTTAAAAATCACACATTGGCAGCGCCATTTTAAGAATCACACGCGCACACACACACACACACACACACACACACACACACACACACACACACACACACACACACACACTACACACACCACCACACACTTGACAACAACCCTGACCAAGCTTGCCAATGCAGTATTTAGAAGTGCTAGTGCCGAACCAGGAAGTAAGGCTTTTCCCACCGATTGGTCTATTTCTGTTAGCACTCTGAAACCCCTCCGCCAGCCCCTTTCCTATTGGATGCGCCTTCTGACATTGCAGCTAACGCCCACCTTGCGCATCGCGCCTCGACGCGGCATGGTGTTCCATCCTCGCGGCGCATAACAATGAATCGGTTCGTCGATGGCGTGCTGCGCATTGCTAAGTGCAGTGTGAAAAGGCTTTCAGGTTGATGTGCCAATTACTAGGCCGCTGTGCTGCTGTAACTCAGTTCATGTCATCATCATGACCTAAATCCCCCAATATACCTTTTTTGCGATCACATTTCCTAAGACTTGATTATTGTTTTTGTTTTTTTTTTCTTGCTAAATGCAGCCCCTCCTTGCTCCCTTTTCATATCAGATATAAATCTGGCTTGGACAACCCTGTGTTGACTTTCTAATCCACCATCTTTGAATCCTTTTGTCTGCGTCCACAAGGGAAAATAGGCGTGCATTCTTCCTGATGATGTTGATATTTCATCTAAAGGTTATTGCGTGAGACCTTGAAACATCTGGAAACACAATCAGATGCTTTCCCATTGACTCATCCAGGTTGCCGTCTGCAGGGTTGACGCTGATGATGATGATGATGATGATGATACCTCGGCAAACTGCAGACAGGATCATTCACGTGCCCTTCACTTTTCCGTCGACACCCGCTCCTTTGGGTGTCGGTCCTGTCCCGCGTCCCTTGGCTCGGATGTTGGCTCCTGCACGCTAGGTTGGCTCACTCGCTCGAGGGCAAGAAGGGACAAGCCGGAAGAATGCTCCCGGAGTCTTTTATTGCGATGTGGCTCTTAATGTACGCAGGCCTCATCATAGAGGGATCAAGTTATGAGTGCCCAAGCCTGAATGCAGCACCTTTTAACTCTTTGGAGACTCACTGAGTTATCCCGCTAATATAAGGCTTGTGTAAAAGGTCGTTTGAAGACAAAGAGAAAGAGGAGGAGGAACTTGAAGACATGCAACCGAACCTGTTTCTCATCACATCCTGGCACAGGCCCAAGAAGAACTCAACCTCTGCACTCTGGATTAGTTACAGTCATATATTATGATGAACCATAGGGGAGCAGCGGACATTTTCCAGAACACATCTATCTATCTCGCGAGCCCTTGAAATCTCCAAAGGAAGTCCAAGATGTTCTCTCGCACCCCCCCCCCCAACCCCCCCCCCCCCC